TCACAAACTCCTTGGCTCCTCTGATCAATGCTAAGGGATTGGTTCTCATAGCCAAGCTCAGATTGGTTAACAGGGGCATGCCCCCAACATGTCGTCTAACATCTTCTTCTCTTTCGATAGTCTCGTCTTCTCCCGTTCCAAAGCGATTTTGTTGTAAGAGATATTGGATAAGAGTGTGTCTTAGGTCTCTTATCTTGTTCCACGAGTCCGTGGATTTCTTCATATCCAAATTCCTCACCCTCTCTCTCATCTGCTCTGGACAACGTGTCAATTTCATTAGTCCTCCCAAGTTTCCGTGGGTAATCGCAATCAGTGTTAGAAGCCCATCTAACCGCAGGTTCTGGATTCCTTCGTTGAGCAGCATCGCCGGTCCTTTCACGAAGCTCTCTGCTCCAAACGTCACGAACAAGGCTAGTAGTTCCACTATTGACACTTCCACTACTGCTTGGAGGAATTCCTTTATCAAGTAATGAGAGACTTTCGGGTAGACTTTTGCCAAAAAGGACGCGGTCCATCCGGCTCCCAACCCTTCCAGCATGCTGTCCGTCCGTTCAAAGCCTTCCTGTCCCCTCACTTCCTGGGTCCAGAAGGTTTCCAGGGTGATCTGACACATTCTGTTCACAAATTCAGCGGTCTTTTCTCCAGCATTTTCCGCCAGGTTCACCTCCTTTAACAAGTAGGCATGGATCTTCGTGATCATCACAGGGGATTGCTCAAAAGCATCTGCACCCAATGCCGCTACTCTAGGACTTAGGTGTAGCCACTGGTTGACTTCCGGTTTGGTTCTCAAAACCATCGCCTCCAATTGAGCTCTAGTCTCTTGCGAATTTTTCCTTCTCGTGTTTTCACCTGTCACTTCCATTGCTCGGAACCATAAGTCGTTGGACATCGCTACGACTACTCGATGGTCGTCGTCTATTCCCGGTTTCAGTTTGAGTTGTCGACTGAAATTGGACAGTTCCAACCCCAGCACCTCGTCCAACACTAACATGTGCAGCGCATGGTCCTTGAATCCTCTCATCGCGTTCGAGATATCTGACCACACTGCAGGTAGTTCAGCCCTGAGTGGCTTCAGGTTCTCCATCTCTATCATGCGATTTGGGGCTGATATGATCACATCATATTTCCCTTCCGAAAGCAAGGTCACGATCGCATACACGAATTTTAGTCCATCCGGGAGATATGCATACCCCGGAGACAACGCGAATACTACTCTCGGGGTCACCTTGGTGAATGACCCCTCCTTCGTCGCATCCACCACTTCACCCATCGACTCAAGGATATCTTTTATCGCTGGCCACACAGCATTCTCTGCCGTTGTAGGATCTCTGAGTCTGCTCAGAAAACCTCTACTGTGTAGATGGTCATTGATGCCAGCAAACACGATCGTAATTGGGTTCATGTCCGTCTGTCTTTATACCCCTATAGCCAGAGATACCGATTGCAGTAGGTCCAGATCGACCGCTGCCAACATTATGACATCCGGCCAAAACAGAGACTTGGAAGTGTACACGAACTCTGAATTCGCTACTATCATAATCTTGGCCTTCCTCATTTCTGCTTTGTCGTACGCGGCAAAGATTGACTCATCTTTTTTTATTGCTTTCAATCCGCCGTACCTTTGGACATCACCATCTTGACTCACTTGTTTCGGGTATGTTCTATCTTTCACATGACTCGGGGGTGTCGCCATCTGCCTGAACATCTTCACATGTTGTCCAATCGGCGCCCTCGTTGTCAGAAATCTTCCCGGTCTCTCTTCTCGATTCTCCTCATCATGATTTAACCTAACGTCCTGCAATGGTCTTGCATTCACTGGTCCCATTGTGTTATTAGAGGGCAGTCCCTCTAGGTCAGCAAATCTCAAGGCTGTCATGGAACTGAAGTTTATGCTAGCGGCTACCAACCAGTCTACGCCTGTTATCGAGTACAGTCTGCTGACGGATAGCCTCGCTCCATTCAGCATCCTCCTTGCATCTTCGATGAAGCTCACCCTCTGGAGATCCAGCTTCATTATTTCATCTTTGTATACATGCCAGGGAGATGGTATGAGCCTTGACCCCATCAACAAGCCTCTGCCCGGGCGTCTCTCCTCTCGACTGGTATTTGTCGTCTCCGATCTGTGTCCGATCTAGACGTGCTGGCTGTCTCTTCGATTGGGTTAACAGCTCCTAGTCTTCTCCGAGGATGGATGGTCCTCCTTACCGGTGCTTCTCCAAATCGATCTTGAACATCCGTCCTTTGACCTGGTTCGCTGGAGCTCTGCTGTCTATAATTCGTGACGGCCGGGACCGTCCCCAAGCGTGTTTCCAGGTTAGGAGGCACAAAGGTGGTAATCATCGTTTCGCTCGATGCTCCTTCTTCCCTCAGCACTCCTGTGTCAAAGAGTTCTACCTCCAACTCATCCAATCGCTCCTGGAAGTTTCTGTTCAGGCAAGCCTGTCCTTCTATACTATCGAAGTGGATACCGTCCGTGGTCAGCCTGGCCTGATCCATAGCTCTCAACTGATGTTTAATGTCCATGAGGATCATTCTCCCGGCATTCCGACTTGCGAGATTCCTCAGGATGTTATTCCACCTGACGACTCCTTCGCTGTGCCTTCTCCCTGCTGCTGTCAAGCTCCTTGTATTCATTGGCACAGTGCAAACGGTCAGTACCGCGCAGTTGAACTTCTGCCAGAGAGTATTAAACAAGCACACCATCATCGATTCCCATAGTGCTTCCTCCTCATCCGAACTTCTCGAGATGTTGTTCGTTCCAACCTGGATCATCACACTGGGGATCCTCCCTGGATTCATTAGTTCCACCATCCGATATAACTGGGCTATAGTCGCTCCTCCGAAGGCCATCACCGTGGTGACCCAAGAGGTCCTCAAATTCGATAGTACTCTGACCAAGCTGTCTCCCAGTATCAGATGTGATGTCCCCAGTGGCGGTTGTTGCAGATTTACTACCGTGTTCCAAGTCGCTCGATTGAAGCAAGCTCTCGGATTTGTCTCCGGAACTCCCGTGAAATTATATCTCAATTGATTGTTCTTTTGTACGTCTAATACACGTGACACTTTCTTCGCTGGCATCTTCTGTATTCTTCTTTCTGGGGCCTTAGAGCTCCCCATTAGTGGCGTCACGTCACTTATTCCCTGTCTGATCACGGTCTGGGAGAGTCGTACTCTGCCCGTGTCATCGATCGTTCCATAGGGTGCAGTCACCCCGGAACCTGGCGCATTCTTGTTGGCGACCAGTCGTCCAGCTGTCTCTATCAGCTTCCTCACCGTTTGTTCCACGACGGGGTCACCCAAGGTGTCACTAGGGTCCGGGATTGTCACTCGATCTGTTGCTGTCGGGAGCCGTGTCCCCGTTGTCTGACTCATTTCTCGAGGCGTCAAGAGCTCTATCGGGGACTGCCCACGAGGAATACTCCTTGCAGGTATCGCTTTTTCCACGGCTGTAGTTAACGCCATCCGTTCTGATCGCTCCTTGTAGTCCTGCCTCAAGCGCTCAATTTCTTGACCCTGCTTTTTGTTGCAGTCTTCGAACAATCTTTTCCACATGTCTCGGTCGTCCTCCGCGATGAGCATGGTCTTAGTCACCTCGTCCAGCTCCTTTTTCGTTCTTTCCAGCTCGTCCTTTATCCCATCAAGATCTTGTATGGTTTGGTTCGTCTGAACCTTCTGTTCTGCTTTCGCCCTCTTTGGTGGCACAGCTGCTCTCAGTGGTGAACCAGACGAGGCAGCCTCGCTGTTCATCTCCTGGTGCATTCTCGTCAGCCCAGGTTTGGGCTTGGAGGGCATAGGCATTTCACCTGGTTGGTAAGTCCTAGAACTTCCTAATCCAGGCTCATTCGCCAACTCACTCCCTGACAGAGCCCCGTTTCTCCACCTCATCACTCTCATGTTCGAGCGATCTAGCACTCCCCTCTCTCCATATGCTGCCATCAACAGGACTTCCGTGGGGCGGTCCCCACGGTTGTCATGACCCAAAATGTTGATCAGGGCGGTCAGCAACATGACTACCTCTGGGTCCTCCAGAGCGAAGTCTCGATCCATTAGCCGACGATAGATCGCATCTATCATCGGTCCTACATATGCCTCTGTCAGGTCCATCAATTCATCCAATTTGAAATTCTCCATACTGTTCTTCAGATTCGATTTGATTTGATTTGATTTGAAGGTTTTGACTCAAGTGAGCAATTAAATGATCAATCAGGATCTAGAAAAGAAGTCATGAATATCACACTTGTCAGTTTCACCTTAACAGATATCGTTAAAATTTATCTAAAAACAGTCAGATAAGAAGATTTTTATCCTAAAATTTATTAAAATCAACCGGTCTCTAAAATTTTGGAACTCGACCTAAGATTGGACAGTCCAAACTTTGGATCTATTCCTAAGATCGTCATTCAGTTGTTCATGGTCACTAACCCCTTCTTAACCAGGATCTTAATAACATAACACATCACATAAAATAACACACATATCACACATATCACACATTACATACAACTTGGTCTTTATCCTAACATCCTCTCGCACGTCACTCAGCCTATACTTAGGTAATATTTCTTATGTAAATATATTTGTATATTAGTATCAGAGAATATCACGTGTACAAGCGCGTACAATTCCCGAGGATGCAGTCGTCCTCTGTTTGGATCGTACACTGGAAGCGAGAGCTCCTTCACGTCCATTTCCACGAGGAAGTCTCTCAACCTCGTCAAGGACAAGACTAGGTTCTCTGGGTCTACGTGCTGCTTCTCCGTCGCCCTCGTCACCAAGAAGCATAGGTATTTTCCCGGTATCGGTGACGCCGCCGGAGGTAAGGCTGCTACGCCCCCTACTCCTGGTCGTTGCTTCCAAAGGAACTCTATGTTTTTATATTCTCTCTTAAAATCTGCCGCTAACGCTGTCATAAAACTCATGTCTGCTGTGATTGCTATCGCACATGTTCTATTTGTGAGTATAAAATCACTGTCTGTTAGTATTATGTTACTTGAATATTCATTTAATAAGTTAAAATATGACTCAACTACCCTCTCTATGTCAGGTTTCTTAGGTTCTTCGCCTGTTTCTGCTTCTAAGTCTCCTGTCTCTCTTGCTATTCTCAATTTTTTTATTATCAAGTTTTCAGTGTGGGTAAGTCCTACCCCCACTCCCCAGACAAAAATATCCATCGACGTCCCCGTCGATCGCATGCCGGATATCAAGTCGAGGTTAGAAGCTGGAATGAGTAGTTGTCCTTCCTGGGCAGCCCAGGAAGGATAGTCTCGTTCGGTCTTGATGTATTTCATGCTTTCACGATCTACGTCCTGAATCGTGACGCTGTTCTCTTTAGGGTCTGATGTCATTTCATTCAGCCACTCCAAGACTCGCAGATTTGTGAGATCTCAATCGTCAATTTCTACTTCGGGTTTCGACCTGTCCTCGATCCATTCCTGGTGGTGATCATCTTTTATGTCGATGTCTTGTGAGACTGTTATGCCTTCTAGACCCACCATTTCTTCCACTATCTTTTTCCGATCTATCCTTTCCACTACAAAGTCGTCACTGTAAGGATTATATTTCTTTCTGGGTCTTGTCCCGTCACTCTGACGAGTCTGCATCGTGAACAGGAGATCTGGTTCCAAATTTTTGGGAACCTCCGTCTGTTCGGGATCCTGCCAATCTTCCTCTGCGTAGGGTAAGGTTTCATCATCTGCTTCGATCACCTCGTTTGGATCCAAGTCCAGTGGTGCATTTGTTCCTTCCTCTATGACTTCGTTTCCATCGTTCTTCTCCCTGGCGCCTTTCTCGTTGACCTCACAAGCAGGATCCATCATCAGATAGTCCCTTCTTCTATGTCTGCGGGTATACACCAGTCTTCTGTCGATGGATTGTGTGGCTTATTGTTCTCGTAGTGGGCGGCTCGGTCAGTACTCAGTCTATAAAAGCGTCCCTCCTGGTGCACTTCCGTAATCATGGAGAGTCCCCTCCACTTTTTAGGAGCTTTTTCGTTCCTTTCGGTGGTATAACGTTCTGAAATACCCATACGTAATCTCCCGCCTTGTAAGCTTTTGCACCAGCTGCTTTCTTGTCGAATTTTTTCCTCTGCCTTGCCTGTGCTTGCTGAGTATTTCGTCTGCATAAATCGTTCAACTCCTGTTGACGTCTGATCACATCCCTCACATATACCTGTGGAGACGTTTTCTTTCCCTCATACTCTGGGTAGAAAAAGGTTAAGGGTAAAGACTTCTCGTGTCCAGTTAGCATCATGTGTGGACTAACTCCAGTGGTGGAGTGTTGCGTGCTTTTATAGGCTCCCATCACCTGTGGAAGGTATCTGTCCCAATCGGTCATGTACCTGGAACAATATACTCTCAGCATCGACACTAACGTCCTATTCTGTTTTTCCACTAAGCCATTCGTCTGGGGGTGGTATGTCGTGGAGTGAGCCTGAGCAACCTGCGAGCGTCTCATAAGCTCTTTCGTAAGCTCTCCTACGAAAGCTGTTCCATTATCTGATTGAAACGTGATCGGACAACCATGCCTCGCTATCCACGTATTGATCAGGTGGTCGCATGTCTCTTCCGCCGAGGCAGTTATGCAGGGCACGGCCTCTGCATACTTCGTGAAGTGATCTATCATGACCAGGACTTGGTTATAACCGCGGTCTGTCATGCATATCTTTTGGTGATCTATCTGCATCACCTTGTTGAATTCAGACGACTCGATCGATTGTAAAGGAAATCGCAATTTCCTTGGATCCTTGACTTGTTGGCATGACAGGCTTGCTGTCACTCACTTCTCACATGCCTTTTTCATTTCAGGCCACTCAAAGCGCTTCAGGATCCTTTGATACACTTTGTCGATCCCTTGATGGCCCATCTGATCATGCGACATGAATAATAGTTCTGTCTGATAGAGTTGCGGCAACACTATCGCGTTATACTTGTATAGGACTTTGTCTTCTTTTCTTCTCTTGCATGCCACAATCCCGTCCTTGTTCAAATATAACCTCCCTTCCTTCTGCATGAAGTACTGTCTCAGGATACGATAACTATCTTCCTCGAGGTCCCCTTTATCCGGAGAACCATTCTTGATCCACCTTTTCAGGTTGCTTGTCATGCGATCAATTCTCTGCGCCCTTAGAAGATCCGAGAGTCTGTATCTCGCCTTCAAGTACGTCTTCATGACCCTCATCTGACTATTCAGCTCATTGGGCTGGTGTGTGTCTTCTTCCATCTTAACGCACCAAATCTTCGCCAGTGGCTGTGTTTCTTGCTTGAACGGCTGAAGATCAGTCATGACTACCTCTTTTTGTGGCAACAGACTTATCGAACGTTTCGATACCGATATTGTCTCCAAATCATCCGCTGCGTTGTCAAAGACTCTTTCACTTGGTATAAGGTAGCGATCACTGTCAGGATCCTGGTACACCTCTCTTTCTAGATCCCTTGCCCGAGTTTCCACTAGCAGTGTGTGGATCGCTAGTTCGGACAGTTCTGATCCCGAGCTCGAGTTCCTGTCTGAATAGGTGTCAATTCCTGAGTTTCCGGAATTGTCATCTGTTGAAGAGGTTGTGATGGAGTCTGCACGCTCCTCCAGATCATGTCTGTGCCTTCTTCGCATCCATCTGAACTCCCCGGACAAAACCTTGTTCCCCAGGTCCTGTTTCTCATCAGGAACTTTTTCATCTATCTCAGACTCCCCGGACAAACTTTCTTGTCCCGGGTGTTGGTCTTATACTCGCTGGCTCTTCTCGTCGTTCGTCTTCCCGGACAAACAATCTTGCTCCAGGTTTTGTTCTACCTTCTCACCTTCTCCATCTTGGTCCACAAAGGTAAAGGGTTTCCTTCGCATACTGCTTCCCAGTTCTTTCCATATGTAAGAAGTACTGGTTAAAACCTCGTGTGGTATTGAGGATACTAGTTGCTGAACTATTGTCCTACAATCCCTCTCGTTCTCTTTGTGTTGTCGTATGGACGGCATGATCTTCACCTTCTACCTGATTGTTAGTGAAGCCACTGCTGCTGTCCACTCGGGGTCACCTCTGGTCACTTCTCTTTCTAACAATCCACCCAGCATCCGCATCACTTGCGGTGTAACCTGCACCATTTCGTCCAGTAATGAGAGGCTGTTTATGTTCATGCGAGAGAGTTCCTGCTGGACCAGGTTTGAGCGCAGCAACAGATCCAAGGGAACCGGGTCCTCCTTGGATAAGATCTTTATCTCGGCTGCTTTCTCTACAGGTAACTCGGGATGCCCCGGAATTGGATGCCCAGACTTATCTAACCATCTCGTTAAGGGAAGCGCTTCATAAGTTTCTTTGTCCAGAAACGAGAATCCCTCCTTTATTTCTGCTTGATTGGCTTGCTTCTGCTCCAATCTTTCATAGAACTCAGTTTTCTTACTGAGGCTGTCCGCATTCTGGTGTTTATCACGCATCCTCTGTTCGATTATCATATGGTGGCCATCCAATCTTTTTATCCATCTACCAATATAACTCTGCTCCATCGAGTAGGTCTTCAACCAGGATAACGCTCTGTTGTCTACTCGTAACTTAAATGGAGCGCTCCCCAAGTATGCGCGGTATTTTTCCACAAATGTGACTACTGCAAACATTTCTGCTTTTGGTGCGCCATATTTCATCTCAGTGTCACTCAAGACTTTGATGCCGTATGCAATGGGACGGAGAACCGTTCTTCCATTCCATTCTCACTCCTGATGCAATATTCCTGAGATGGCTACTACCGATGCGTCTGTGCAAGAACATACATGCCCTTTTCTGTAGGCATGCCTAGCACTGGCGCTTCGCACAGTTCCCGCTTTATGTTCTCGAAGGCAACTTCTGCTTCATCGTTCCATTCGAACTTTTTCCCTTTGTTGCGCATCAGCTTCTGCATCGGATACACCTTGTCCGCATATCCTTTTATGAACTCCCGGTAGTAGTTGGCAAACCCTAGGAAGCGAAGGAGCTGTGTGTCCGTTCTTGGAGCCTTCCATGTCAACACTGCTTCTACTGCTTCCGGGTCTGGCCTCACACCATGCCTGTCCACCATTCTTCCCAGGTACTTGATTGAATCCCTAAGGATTTCACATTTCGATGGTTTGCACTTCAAGCCTGCTCTTTTCATGCATCCAAAGACCTCATTGAGCCGATCAATCAATATGGTCTTCCAGGGCTGGTGTCGCTATGACCACGTCGTCCACGTAACACATCACAAGGTTCCCGTACTTTTTGTCACTCTGGTCAAAGCCTGAGCCATCAGTCTTTGAAAAGTGGCCGTTGCGTTGCACAAGCCGAAGGGCATCTTCTTCCACTGGTACAACCCTAATTCGCACGCGAATCCGGTTTTCTCTCTATCCTTCTTCCGCAGAGGGACCTGCCAGAAGGCCGAGCCCAAGTCCAGTGTTGTGAAGAACTTGGCATCACCAAGCTTAGAGAGGCTCTCGTCTATTCGCGGTATCGGGTACGCATCTTTTATCGTTACCGCGTTCAAGTAACGAAAGTCGCAACAAAACATAAGCTGCCCCCCTTTCTTTTTCGCCATTACCACCCCGCAAGCCCACTGCAATTTCGAGGGTTCTATCATGTCGTATTCGAGCAGCATTTCGATTTCCGCTCGGCACGCTTCCGACTTGTGTGGCGTCATTCGTCTCGCGCCTTCTTTGTGCGGAACGGCACCTTCTTCCAGTTCAATTTCGTGTTTGACGAAGTTACAGCAACCGATAACCGCTTTATGTTTTGAAAAACATCTGCGTTCCGATTTAAAACGTCCCACAATTTTTTGAAATCTCCCTCACCTATTTTCCCTTTTAAATGTTCTATCTCTGGCAAAACCAGTTTGTCAGTTTCTAGTTCGTATGACGAGGGGCGTTCCGGAAAATTCGAGCAGCTCGATAAGCCGTCGTCCGTTTCGGATTTCATTGAAAACAACTTATGAATAGATTTTAATTCATTAATCCTCTTTAAAATTCTATCTTTATTGGCATGATGAGGACAGTCTTTCACACTATGTTTCTTCAAGTT